TGTGAGCAGCCTCTGGGTCTCCTGGCTCACCCAGAACTTTCCCCACCCCCTCCCCTGGGTTTTCCCTGCTGCTGTATCACTGGCCTAGCTGCCATCTGCCAGAGCCACAAAGGACCTGTTTATTTCATCACCTAGCAACAGCAGCATCCCTGGCTCCAAGTTTTCCCTGGGAGACCGTGGAAAGCCAGAGCTTTAGCCTCCATGGGAACCTGAAGCTGCCACAGACTGAACCAGGACCAGAAAACCCCTTTTATGTGCCTCTGCTTTTCTCTCTTTCTCCTACATCCCAGTCACCTCAGCTCTGCCCCTACCAACTTCATTCCAGAACAAGAAAATGCAGAGTCAACATTGTAGTGAGGAAGAGAGAAAATAAGGCCCCAGGGGCAGCCTGCTTGACGAGAACAGCAGACAAATGAGCTGGCTAGGCTCTCTGTTCCTTTGGACTCTGTGAGCTGCTGCCTCTTCTTCACCTCATTATTAGCCTCGTGGAACACACCCATTTCATTGTGTGGTTTTTAACCCTTTTATCTGTTTGCCAACTCTGAAAGAGACTTCCCAATTACCCTAAGTGACCTTGAGGTTCAGAGAGCTTAAGGGGTGTGCCCAAGGCTACACAGCAAGTCAGAAGACTAGGCAAGATGAGAACTCATACTCCCCAGGCTGGATCTTTGTGTTTTTTCTGCAAAACACTTAATCCTCACCCCCATTTAAAAACAAGAACTGCCTTGTGTCTGGGCTTCTCATCTCTGAGCTGGAAGGTTGGAACTGAGTTAAGTTCAACCAGGAGTCTCTTTGGGATCCAAAACACCAAGGGCTGAGGATAATTGGTAAATAAAGGAAAAAAACATGAGAGAAAGGTGCAAACCTAGTGGAAGAGGGAAAAGAAGGGATGCTTATATCAATAAAGCCCTTACTCAGTGCCAAGCATTAGGCCCTTTCCCAATACACTCTGGGAGAGTGGTCTTCTTATCCTTGTTCATGGATGACTTGGCAGAGCCAAGAACCAAGCAGAGGTGGGTTTGCCTTCAGACAGAGGAAGAGCTAGGGAGAAGCTGAGAGTCATCTCTGCACATTGATGGCATGCTAATTATATGCAACTAGGCTTCATTGCAGGAGAGTAGAGAATCAAAAGGCCCAGCACCAGCTTGTGAGACTTACCCAAATAGGGCCCTGAAACTGGAGAAGTGAAGACAACAATCCACTGAGTCCAAAAGCATGGCCCCAAAAGCTGGATCTGTTACTTACTTTCTCTGAGGCCATAGTGGCCACTTAATCTACATGAGCCTTGGCTTTCTCTTCTGTAAGTTGGGGATAATTTCTCAGAGTCGTTCTGAGAATTAATTGAGATAATGTTTATGAATGATGCTGTAAGCCATATAACAATACCCACCTGCAGTAATTAACTGTTCTGCCTCCATATTTGGGTCTTGGATTAATGTCTTTCTGCTACCAGTGACCAACTAAGAAACAGAGAAGACGATTCTCTGAGCTAATCAAGCAATTGGCAGGTGCTTTTCAGCCATCTAACTCCACCACACCCACCGCCCACCTCCTCTAGTTCAGGCCCTTCTGGGCTCTGACGGCTTGGGCATTCCTAGCCTCCCATTGTACTTCTGACAGCAGGAGCTTCATCCCCAGATGAGCCATAGGTCGAACACCAGTTGGGCTGGACTCATGAGTCAGGTCTGTGCAGCAGACTGAATCAACAGAACAGACAGGCCTGACCCAGCCAGTGGCCCCAATGCAAAAGAAAAGGCTGATGCCTCTTCATGGTCTGGGCTGGGCCTACACCATGGCAGGTATGGCCAGGGCCTGAGTCAAACTGGAGATGCCTCCAGCAAAGCAGAAGGTAGCACAGTTGGTTTTTGGTGGCCTCTCAGCCCCCTTCTATCAACTCCAGGGCAAGACATTTCCCCTGTCTGGCCTGTTCTCTCATTGGAAAACAAGGGAGTTTCCTGGGATGGTGTCCAGAGACACTTTCAGCTTTGTATCCTGTGACCAGGGCAGGACTCACCACAGTGATGGGGGCTGACCAGATCCCTGAGTCTTATCTGATACCCATATCTCTCAGCACTGTTCTCTCCTATCCCCAGCTCAAGATTGATTCTGGGCTGAGAGGCCATGCAGCTGCTATGTGTCCTCATCTCTATTCTGCTCAGGAAAGTCATTGACACTAGTGTCTCCCGATTGCTGCTCATAGACCTAAAATGTACCCGTACCTCCCTGTTGATCATCCTTAATACCTGTAACTTTCAGCAAGTCCCCTTCCCAGAAATTTAGCAACCCATCATCTCTGATCTCTCTGTGTCAGAGATGTTTGCTAGAAAAACTTCAAGAAAAGCCAAAGAATGGGCTACTAAATGGAAAAAGTGGGGCAGCATGAAAGTCGGAGCAAAGGGGAAGACAAGAGTTTGACTCCTCTAACTCCAGGCAGTTGCTTTTTTATTTCCTCTTTGACCTTCAGGCGCATGGCACTGATTCATGACATTTTTCACTATTGGTCCATGCATGGCCCCCTTGTAACTCACCAGCTAGTTAGACAGTTTCAACAATGTAATAAGCCTCCATAAACCAACCACTCAAAATGAAAGCTAGGACTTAACCATGAGATCCCCTGCTGAGGTAGGTGGGCAAGTCTCTGTTTAAAAATTTGGCAAATCTCGACTGTATATCTTTCATAGGCCAGACTATTCTAGAAATCCCCTGCTGGAGTCAGCATTATCTCGAATTTCATGTTATTTCCTTGTTTTTTTCTAAAAAAAGATTCTGTCTTCTGTGCAATCTTTTGGGACTTAATTTTTCCTTTAATATTGAATTGTTAATACCATCTATATTATTTCATGGCACCATACTTCATTTGTTTTGACTACAGCATAATGTTCCATTGAGTGAATATACCATAGTCTGTGTCTTCAAGGCTGGCCTAGGACTGAGCCCTGAAACTAAGATGTTTTCCTTAACTCTTTCATCTGGCAAATATTTGTTTAATATCCACTCTGTGCCAGATACTGAAGGAGACTCCAGGGATGCAGTAATTACCAAGGTAGCCATAGTCCATGTGTTTCTATCCTGCAGTTTCAATTTAGTTTATTTTTTTTTCTCTTTCTCTTTTGTTTTCAAAAAGGCATAGAATTTTTTCTATATAACCACTATTCAGTGGAGAGCAATTGAAAACATATTAGCCAAAGGAATACTGAGGTCACTTCAGTTCAACAATGAGGAATTCAAAGCTCCAGAAAGTGGAGACTGTAAGCCTCTTTTGTTCCCTCTGTGTCTCTTCTTCTAGCACATTCAAAGGCAGATAGTCAATCTTTGTTGCATTAATAATAAATGAGAGACTTGCCCTACCTACTTCAACTAATGCATGCATGCATATGCAGGTAGACTCAGTGAAAAAGAATGAATTAACAGGGGAAGGGCCACTAAATGGATGTTATTAATACCCCTCCAATCTGCCCCTCCTATAGCCTTCCACATCTCAGCAAACACCTTACCTGCTCACTAAAAACCCAAGAGAATCCGATCCATTGGCGAGGCCTATTGCCTTTATCTATCCACACACTGAACCTTTCTATCACCAGCCTCTTTCTCCCTCCTCTTATCCTCACCTTACTCCAGCCATGTGGATCTCTATTCTGTTTGTCCAACAGCAAGCTTGCTGCTGCCTGCTTGCTGGCCTACCTGCCTGGCTATTTTCCATTATTCAAGTCTCAGCCCAGAGGTCCTCCCCTGACCCCTTCTCTAGACCTCACATTCTAAATATCCAGCCAGCCACTGTTTCTTATCACCCCCACCCCTGACTCTCAGCATAGCAGCCACCACTCTCTGATCTTTTCATCTTTGCATGGCTTATCCTCCCACTGCTCCCCTCAACCTCCACCCCCTGCCTCATTTGAGGGGAGGGCAGGGCTTTATCTGTCTTGTTTAGGCACATCTCCCATTCTGCTGCAATTATTTGTCTTATTTGTCTTTGAATCTACAGCTCCTAGAGCAGTGCCTGGTACAACGCAGACTCTCAACAAATGTTTGTTGAATTTAGTACTTAATTATGTAATGCTAACTATACTGGTTATCAGACAATTGATATCAATCTTATTCACCCTTTAATTTGACTTAGACAAAGGACTTTGTAAACTGTTATGTGCCAATCATGTGTAGATTACTGTTGGTATTTTTATCACCTGACTCTGTAGCCATAACAAGGCAGAGATGTCCAATTCATTCTCATCTTTATCCTGGAAATCATTCCCTATGCAGGTCCTGGTGATGGTGGAGGAGAAATGGCTCGGAATGAACCACAGTGCAGAGCCCAGAGTTCAGTTTCACTTAACAGTCAGTTATTGGGTCTTTACTAAGTATAAGCCCAATGCAAAACACTGAGAGCACAAAGGCAATAAGAAACAGGGACCTTGACAGAAGAGTGCTGTAATAAAATCCTGTACCAATGTTGTAAGAACACAGGATGGAAGGGCACAGGAAAGGGGGCTCTAATGTGTGAGCAGGTACTGTCCACCAGATGTCTCATTTCATCCTCACAAGAGCACTTGGAAGTAGGTGTATTTTCTCCACTTTACAGAGGGTAAACCTGAAACTCAGAGAGATTAAGTATCTTACTTAAAGACTCACACTTAACAGGAAGCAGAGCCTGAATTTCAACTCACCCCTGCAGACTCCAGAGCCTGGCTGTCTCTGCTACATCCCCCAACCACCCATTGCCTATTGTCAACAAAAGGCAAAGTCTGGCACATCCCTCTAGCAGACTACAGAGTTTGGGGAGAAAGGAAAGAGCTCCTTCTCCCAATGACTGTGTCTCCTGTGCTCAGCCATGGGAGAAGGCAACATCCAGGACTAATATTTAATTTCATATCTAATCCGGGGTGCTCACCCAGGTGTTGGAAGAAAGCTTCTCCCTTCCAAATGAGACGAGAAAAATTCCCAGCCGGAAATGTTCAAGGTCTCTTGGTTCCTCCACCCATCACTGGAGCAGTCAGAACCTCAGCATGACGACCAGCAACTCCCTGGATGGAGATCTAGAGCTTGGGCAGATGAGCTGCTCCCTCAGCCTGGGGATTCCAGACAGAGAAAAGGAAGAAAGAAGAACGGTTTCTGGAAGGCACAAGGGCAAGGGAGCATGAATATTGGCAGCACCCTCCCCCTTAACCTTTGCCTTGCAAAAAGGGGATGCGTGTACTCTGTGTGCAAGCCTTTGTGTGTGTCCCTGTGTGGCTGTGTGTGTGCTGAGTGCACACAGGAAGTGGTGCGACTAAGCGGAAGAACAGAGCCTGTGTGTATTTGTGTATATGTGTCGATGGTGACTTAAGACTACACTCACAGAAATACTATCATGCTCTGGTTTTGTATTTTTGTTTGTCAGTTTTATTAGGTGTAACATACATTAGGTAAAGTACTCAAATCTAAAACATACTACTCGATGAATTTTCACACCTATATACTCTCATGTAGTCAATACTTAGATCGCGACCTGGAAGTTTTCCAACATTCCAGAAGGCTCCCTTATGCTTCTTTTAATAACTTCCCTCACCTCTCCAGTGGTACCAGTGTTCTGACTTCTATCACTATAGATTAACTTGACCTTTTAAACTTCATATAAATGAAATCATATAGAGAATGCTCTTTTGTGTCTAGTTTCTTTCTTTTATTATTATGTCTAAGATTCATCCATGTGTCATTGCACTTAGCATTAGTTTGTTCTTATCCATTGCTGAATTATATTCCATTTTATGAATATAGCACAGTTATTTATCTACTCCACCATTGATTGACTTTTGTTTTTTTCCAAATTTTGGCTATTAAAATAAAGCACTATACACTTTCACGTACAGGTTTTTTGCTAGACATATGCACTTGTTTCTCTTGGCTATAATTGCTGGGCCATGGAATAATAGAATAAGCATATGTTTAGCTGTAGTAAATTCAGCCAAAAGATTTTCCAAAGTATTTGCATCAATTTACACTACTACCAGTAATGTATGAGAATTCCAGTTGCCCCACATTCTCATCAATACTTAATATTGTCAACCTTTTTAATTTTAGCCATTCTGGTTTCTATGCAGATGTAGCTCATTGTGGTTTGAATTTGCATTTGCTTGATGAATAATGATGTTGAACATCTTTTGGCGCTTATATGGGTGCTGGATTATCCCCTTTTGTGGAGTGTCTGTTCAAGTGTTTACAGAAGTACAACATCTGTATAAGTGGACAAATGATTGACAAAACAGACAGTAGAGCAGAATCATCTCAAGAAACTCAGCAACACAAACAATAACTCAGCAACCAATCATTTCTACGACTGCTAACTATTTGCTACAATTAGTAAATTAGTTGTACCAGGTCACATAGAGGTATAACTGAATTTTTCATTTTGAACCAATTACTTAGATATCACAGAAACTCTCCTACTTAGATTCCGCAGGAAGAGGGGAATATAGACAAGAACTAAGAGCCTCCCTTGGGTTGTTAGCCTCAACCTGAGAGGTTCCCTCCCTCAACTCACTGACTGTTTTTCTTTCAATTACAGGATCCTGATAGTGATCAACCCCTGAACAGCCTTGGTAAGTTCAGGTCTGGCTCTCCTTTGTCTACCTCAGTCTCTGAGTTTAGATCAGTTACCAAGTAGATACTAAATCCCTCTTGCGTGGCCCTCACTACCAGCACCAAGGCTAAATGCTGTGGGAGTCATCCATACACCCATCTATCCATCATTCAACAAACACTTATTAAGCAACTCTAAGATCCAGGATTCATTCTAGAAGTAGGAGACATGGTCTCTGGGGAAATAAGAACAACAAACCTAAAAGCCCAGGAGCAGTGATTCTCCAATTTATTCACTCAATTACTCGTTCTCTCATTCACTCAACAGCACTGTGAGTGCTTTCCATGTGCCAGGCTCTAGGCTGGACGCTGGACTACAGCAGAAAATAAGACAGCAAATAAGACTCTGCCCTCTTAGAGTTTACATTCTGAGCATGCTGTCAAGGAACAAGCTGGACAAAGTGCTTTTACTGGTAGAATAGAAAATGGCAGTGTTTGCCTGACTTACAGGAGGAAAATAAGTTGATAGGGTTTTTTTTATCATTTTCTTAAACCATTGATACCCACTCCTGATAGGCTGCCAGATCAGCGAAACAATGACAGGTCAATAAGGAAATAATCAATTACTTAGACAGCTTATTTATTTCAAGTTTGCAAATTCATAGAGATCACAAACAATATAATCTTCAGCAAGTGAAACAATGTCATCTAAACTTAGAATTTCACATATAAGTAGACCATGCTGTCTCCAAAGCACACCAGATGTCCAAGTGCTCCCCAACTTGAGTAAGCCTGAGAACTGCCAAACCAAAAACAAGTTAAGTTTACTAGCAGTGCCAGAGGCGAAGGGCGCTCAGGATGGGGAGGTCAGTGCCACGTGATCAGGGGCAACGTCATGGGTCAGGCAAGCTTTGACAAAAGCCCTATAGGAATAAAGTATCATTAACAGAAGGAAGAGATGAGGGCCTCAGTGGTGAAGGGAAGGACAGGAGCAAAGATTCGGAGATAAGAACGAATATGGGCTGTGTAAGACCCGGACTATACCTGCCGGTGTAGAAATGGGGATTGGCAAGGACTAGCAGTGAGAAGTCCACTTAGTGAGGAGAGTGGAGCTAAATTACACTGGCTTTGAAAGCCCTGAGCTGAGTATGGTCCAGATATGGAAGTCATGGGGAGCTCTTGAAGGTTCTCAGGTAGAAAAGTGACAAGATGAAAGCTTTGTCCAGCAGCAGTGGGTATGACCAGCTAGAGGTAAAAACAGTGGCAAGCAGGGAGGTTAGTTATAGCTCATTGGGCTCATTAACTTAAACCAAGTATGAGACAATAAACCAAGAAAACCCTTCCCTTTATGATGACATTCTCCTTGAGAATGTCAGGGGCAGAGGCATTGGAACTTATCAAGGGACTCCCAATAGGTTATTTATCTCTGAGAAAATGAGCCAACTTTGTGTCCTCAGAGGTAGGGGCTCAATAAACAAATCATGTATAAGTGAATGAATGAAATGTCACCATGTCCATGGCTACAGGAAAGAGGACAGTTCTGAACACTGACTGCTAGAACTTTAAAAACAATATCTTCTAACGTTATTCATAACCTGCTTTGTGCCAGGTCCTAATAATAAGAGGAAGTACGAGCCCACATCCCCAGAGCCTGAGCTTTGTGTCTGAGTTTTAAACTCTCCCTGTTGAGGAAACACAAAGCTTCCTACACTTTTCCTGGCCACAGATTCAATGATATCAGCACTTATTGGGCACCAGGCTCCAGAAGGGCGCCATTCTCTGCTTTTGAAGAGCTGAGGAAAGAAATATAGACATAACTAGCCATCATCATTCAAGGCAGAATAAAATAAGACCTGCAAGAAAGATGGAAGGTATGTGCTTAAAAGAAAAAGCAAAGAGCAGTTCATTTATCCATTCAACACATATTTGCTGAATGCCGACTATGAGCCAGGCATTTTTCTATCACCAGAGACTGAGCAGTGAACAAAACAGATAAAAATTCCTATCTTCATAGAGTCTTTATTTCAGGTGAGAGTGGGAGGAGACAGAAAAGATACAAAATAGGTAAAATATAGACTACATTAGAGGTGAATAAGTGCTTTGGAAAAAAAACAGGGAAGGAAGATAGGAAATGCTGGAAGATTGAACTTTAAAAAGGAAGCCTCCACTAAGAAGGTGACATATGAAGTATATTTTGAAAGAAGCGAGTAAGCCATGTGGAAGTGAGAGGGAGGAGAGCAGCTTATTGCTTTCTAGAGATTCTCAGGGCTCCAGTGACTCCTGTGTTAGTTTACCCCAGAAAAATCCCCATGGCAGCCCCCTCCCCAGCTTATTGCTTGCAAGGAGAGGGGATGAAGAAGAATCTGCTTGCTGAGCATTTAACTTTTCAAAGCCTTGCCCATGTACCATATAAAATAGACAGTATAGTTATCATTACCTCTGATTTAGGCATCAGTAGGCTCCTGCCTGGTATCCAGAGCCCTACTTTCATTTGTTCCAATTGTTCTCCTCACTGATGAAAGATGTATCCAGCTAAGTATTAACATGATTACATGTCTCTGCTGCTCAAAGCTTCCCATATCTCCTCATTGCCTTCAGGATAAAGTCCAAACCCCTAGGATGGTATTCAAGGCTCTGCATCACTGACTTTGCCAGTGCTGCCTCCACAACATGCTGTCACCAATCTGGTATGACAGGAGCTCACACCAGGAGCTCACAGTCCCCACACCCAGGCCTTTGTCAGCTGGCCGAGCTCCTCTCCTATCTCTACCTACATGGGCCCATTTAAGGGCTTTGATGGTGTCTAGCGGTACTGGCAACTGTGTCCCTGTTTACCTCTTCCCCCAAATTGTAATCTCCTTAAAGACAAGGACCATTCTAAAGACACGTTATTTGTTGAATTGAATTAGAGATGAGGGCCATTAGGATGCATTCATTCATAGGTATTTATTAAGCTTCTACTAAGTACATACTATGAGGGAATCCCGTGCCCTCCTCAAGCTTATAGTTTAATCAAAAGATAAGTCAGGAAAGAGGATACATGATTGTAAAATGAATGGGTATGTGCCTCTCCCAGGGCAGACGCAGGTCAGACTGGACAAGGTGAAACATCCTAGCACAGACTAAGGCACAAAAAGGGGAATATGGCATGGTTTGGAAGTTCAGTTGAAGGGCCCTTCTGAAATGGATACTCCTGGATAAGTGACAGGAGGTGAGATAACCATTGCTGATGAAGCTAACGAAAACTCTCCCCAAAGCATTTCTGCAGCTCAGCTCTGGGAGTCAGAGGGCAGGGAGACTGTGGGCCTTAGCAGGCTAGGTCTCCAGGTGCTGACCATAAGCTCTTCCCCTCCACTTCACAGATGTCACGCCCTTGCGCAAATCCCGAACTTCCCTGGAGACCTTCAAAAAGACGGGGGTCCCCATCATCGCAGCACTGCTGAGCCTGGCAATCATTGTCATCATGGCTGTCCTTGGTAAGTGGCAGCCCCCACCCCCACCCTCACCCATACAGTAAATGGCAGCTCCCCTCAGAGCATACCCTCATCCTCCACCCTTTTACCCCATCAGAATCATAGGCTGGTGTTCTGCATAATGCTTTGTATCCACATGTATCCACCTCCTACTTTGAAGGGAAACTTCCTCTAAGAATGAAAGGAAACTGAGGAAACTGAGTTTAGTGTTTTTAACTCCTTAGGGAACAGAAATTTCAATTTTACCAGATGGCTTCTATCCCGGATAATGTTTTTTATAGAGAGAACACAGCTGCACATGTTACAAACCCCACAGACAATTTGCACGGGCAGGCACACTCTCTGCCTCCTCGTCCCATGTCTGTAGACTGGGAGCTGAGTGGATCTGAGCAGCCCTACTGGCTGAAAGAGCAGGGAGCATTTCTGCTCGTAAGAAGGGGATAAAAAGAGGAGGCATCAGGGAAGACCACCCAGGCAGACAGCACTCCACCCCAGTTTTAGCTAAAGCCCTTCATCATGGCCAGTGCCTGGGACCTAGTGTGATCTTGGGCGGGCCATTCTATGACAAAGAAGAATAAACTGAAGGAACAGGCATTCCCACAATTCCTCCCTTTTAGCGCCCACATTCTGTGATCAAGTCCTTGCCTTCATCTCGCCCATAGTCACAGCAGGCTACTGACAGCAGCTTTCACACAGGGAGTAGGGCATTCTGTGACCTTGAGTAAGTTCCTCAATCTCTCTTAACCTCAGTCTTCTCACTTATAAAATGTCTCACTTTCCTCAGAGAGACATCAGAGAACCCATGAGATAATATGTATAAAGTATCTGGATAAAAACCAGGTTGTGCAAAAGTTTGGGCCATCATGAAGCATGAGAAAGTATAACGAAGGCCACGCATTTGCTAACCCACCAAAATGGGCCTTTAAAGAGTCTGCACTTGTACCAATGGTGGTATTTCCACCAGCAACAGCCACCACCTCATTGGAGGACACTCAGAGATCAACCCCTCATTCTCCTCTTGAGCACCTAGTCTCAAAGAGAATGGCAATTGGAGAGGGATTGGACAGGCCCCCAGGCCCCAGATTGAGTAAGTTCATGTCCACCTGTGGCGGTGGAAATGCAGATCCACAACACAAACACCACTCAGATCCCTGAGAGCCTTGCAGAGGTATGAGGCAAATAACCCCAAATAATTTCTTTTTGACCTTGGCTGGTCCAAAGTGGTGTTGGGTTTGCAGCAGCATCAGCAGATTTGACACCCTAAGCCTGTTTTGTTCAGCCTAATATTAAGATGAGCTTGCTTTCTCTAAGCGTATGCCCTACCACAGTGGTGAGAGAATAAGATCCAAATTCATGCAGGGCGGCCAGGGTAGGCACTAGTGCATAATTTAGAGTTGGGCCCTCCTTGCGTGGCTTTCATGGCCTAAGACCCCAAGGTTTGACAACCAGAAGAGGTAACCTGAGCCTCCAGCCTGAAGTAGGCTCCCTCATCTTTTTGGCTTCTGGGGTCCCAACTGGTGACACTGTGCCCTGGCTTCATCCCAGGAGGCTGGAGTGACCTTGCCTTTTACCCTGACTCCTAAGCACGAACCAAACTCTGAAGGTCTCAGAAATATGTGACCTGCTCCTTCTCCCTTGCTTCACTCAAACCAGGAGCATCGGAGCCAGAGGGTGACATCTTGAGCCCCCTAGGGAAGGTGTGGAGAGACAGCAAGGTGCTTTAGAGCTAAACAGACCCTGATTGAAATTGGGCTCTACCACATAAGTACTATGTGTCCTTGGGAAATAAACCCTAGCTCTCTAACCTCAGTTTCCTGATTTGTAATGTGAGTTAATAATGACACCTACCTCCTAAAGTTGTTGCCAGGATTACAAGAGGCAATGCACGAAAAGCTCTTAGCAGTGATAAGTAGACGCATCATCAGACTTATTACCACTACTCTTACGGCCAGCTGGGAGTGATGCTGGACTGCAGAGGAGAGCTTCTGTTTAAGGGAGAGTTCATTGAGGCAGGAGGACCACTTCCTGCCAAGAGAATTTGGAAAAGCATTGAAATTTCTGTTCCCTAAGGAGTTAAAAACACTAAACTCATTCCCATCACCTAAGAGGGCACAGGGCAACAGAATTTGAAGGCAACAGGCAGAAGACAACAGAACAAAACATCAACCTCTTAATGGGTTTTTCTATCCCAGATAAAAAGCACTTAATTCTAAAACTGCACTTGATAGTTGTGAGACACTATCATAACCACCAGCTCACCAAATATTCTCAACAGCCCTGAGAGGTGGTATCATCATCTCACTGATGAGGAAACTGAGCCCCAGAAAGGGGAAGTGATTCATCTAAAGTCACACAGTAGGTGGCAAAGCCAGTTCTCAGGTCTTCAGACTCCATGTCCAGCATGTCTCCTCCATTATCAGAAGCACTGTGCCAGAATCTGAGGGAAGAGACTAGTGGGGGCTGTTTCTAAATTTCTCCCCCACACATTATCTCTCTTGACTCTTCAGTCATCTTTGGTATAAGACAAGTGTTATTATCTCCATTTTACAGATAAGAAAACTGAGGCTCAGGACCAAGCACACCAGCCACTAAGTGGCAGAACTGGGCCTGGAACCAGCATCAGCCTATTCCCAAGCCTAGCATATTTTTAGGAAAACACAGCCTCCCTGCCCAAGGCTGCCTGCTTGATCCTCAGCCTTCTCTGCCCCTTCTTGCTTTTTCTTCCAGGCAAGGTGATCCTGGACAAAGACTACTTCCTCTGTGGGCAGCCACTCCACTTCATCCCCAGGAGGCAGGTGTGTGATGGCCAACAGGACTGTGCCTTGGGGGAGGACGAGGAGCACTGTGTCAAGAACTTTCTCAGCGGGCCTCCAATGGCAGGTGAGTCCAGGGGCTGAGGGACCAGGAGAGTGGGCACAGAATGAAGTTATCTCAGGTTCTCTTGGTCCACTGTGTAGCATCTGCTACCTGACTTGTCATTTTCCATCACTATTATAAGGTTCTTGAGAACAGGACCATGTATTATCTACTAGATCCCAGTACCTAACATGTAGCAAGCACTCGGTAAATATTTGGTGAACAAATATGGCCCAGAGGGGACAGAAAATTATAACTGAGCTTTCTGCTGTGCCTGTGTGAAAGTAATCCAGAGAGTTAGATTGAATGACCTGGGGGGTTCCCTCATTTCTGTGAAATATGTTATTTCAGGGGGACTAGAAAAGAGACTGTAAAGCCATTAACGAGCTATTGACTCTTCTACTCATTAGATAAGTGTTTATTGTAACATGCTGTGTAACAAGATTGAGCTAGGTCCTTCAAAGGAATGTGAGATGTTTTGAACATAAGGACCCACGTTCTTTCTTGGACTGGATAAGTCCCATTTGATCCACCTATTATCTGGGCTCTGAAGAGAAAAGATAGCCCAGAACATGAGTGATGGGGACTTTGAAGGGGCAGGGCTGAGTGACTTCCTATGTATTTGTTCTTTTTTTATTAGAAGTCAAATGCCCCCCTACTGCCAGTAGTAATCTCACTCAACCTCCCCACTCTGACCTTACATGGAAAGGAGCTAGGTTCCTCACTGAGAGGTTTCCCCAAGCTGGGTAAGCTGTGTGGAACATGGGTAGGGGAGCCATATAATATATCATCAAAACTTATACTTAAAGGAGCAAAAGGGGGAACTATTAATAATTATGTCAGGACAACAAGTCAAAATGGAGATTGACCTCAGGACATTTGGTCACCCTAGCTACCATAAACAAGAGTCTCAATCAGGCAAAGCTAAATGCACGAGCTTCCCTTGAGGTTGGTGTTCTGTGATGCTTCCCAGTTCAGCTGGGGGGGGTGGGCGCGGACGGGGGCAGAGTGGAGTTGGCTGGTCTCATGACAAATTCTGAGGGAGCTAGGCCAGATGGGCCCCTGAAGCTGACCCAGCTTCCTCCCCTCCCAGTCCGCCTCTCCAGAGACCGATCCACCCTTCAGGTGCTGGATCCAGCCACGAAGAACTGGGCCTCCGTCTGTTTCAACAACTTCACAGAAGCTCTGGCCCAGACGGCCTGCAGGCAGATGGGCTTTGACAGGTACCTAGCCCAAGCATCCAGAGACTGTAACCTCACCACTGTGACCTCTCTCCTTTCACTGTCTTCCTTCCTCTTTCCCCCTACTTCTCTCTTTCCTTCTTTTTTTCCCCGTCCTTCCTGAAAATATAGGTATGGGTGTCAAACAGAACTACTTTGATCCCAGCACTTTCACTTAAAGCCACATGAATTTCAATCTCCTGAGCCTTGGTTTGCTCAAGAGTTAACTGGGGAAAGTAATGCCAGCTTCGTGGGATGATTATGAGGCATCAGTGAGAGAATATGTTTCACCACCACCACCACCACAAACACAGGGTTCCAGCTCTTTTCCAATCTTCTCCTTTCCTTTACTCCCTACTCCTCACTCCTTGTTTTTGAATGATGTTGGCCCCCCAAAATTTGGTTTAAACAGACCTGATTTCATTGGAGCTCCATCAATAATCCAAGCTCTCTCAACATATTTAAAAGCAGTTCCAGATCTTCAGTGATGAAAAAGTATGTAATTATAATAAGAGTAATTAGTATTACATATTTATATTCATTTGATCTTGGAAAAACCCAAAATGGTAGTTATTATATCTATCTTAGAAATAGGTTCTGAGAAGATAAAGTAACTTGCTTGGGTAGCAGCTGGGAGAGAGAGGGCTGGAATTTGTCACAGGATCTTCTAATTCCTGGGTATCAGGAGTTCTATAAGCATTTCTGTTTCTAGATTGAATCATTCTCTCTTCCTCTAAGGTTTCATCTGTAAATTGAGGGGAGGTGAGACAGTTGATCACTTAGAGAGCTTAACTGGAGAGAATGGAAAAGAACCCATGCATTCAGTTGCAGAGTGCAATAAACTCTCCCATGCAGGCCCCAAACCTCAGGATTCTAAGAAACTGCACCCAGACACTAGGCAGAAAGGATAAGTGCTGGGCAGACACCATCAATCAATGACAGAACTCTCTCCTATCCATCCCTAAGGCAACCTAAAGGTCGTTTTTCAATAAATGTTCCAGGCAGACTTATTTGGTCCCCTGCTCTCTGGTTGTCAGACTTCTGATGCTCTCTACCTTCTATGGGGTGCAACAACCAGCACCCTCAGGAAAGGATACTCCACCACCTTCATTTTCCAGGACAGCTGGGAAGCTTGCCCTGCCACTGCTATTCCCTCCTCCTCCAGCAGCCACCCCAGCCCAGCCTTCTCACTGCAGCCACCCCTCCTCCCCACTACATGCCAGCCAACTGCAGAGTCAGCTGTACCCAGCACAGCAGGCTGAAGCTTGATTTCGAAAGTAGGGTCTCTTAAGGTTATAGGCTCCTGGAGAGTCTGTTCTCCTGGAACTCGCTAAAGCATGAAATCACCTGGTCTTGAGCTCTACAAAATTAAAGCTGGTCAGAATTATTCATCAGGATATAATTAGTAAACAGAGGTTGACTTTCCTGGGACTGTCCATTTTTACCATCGTCTCTCATTGGGTCTCAATTTTCTCTACTTTCCTTCTTCCAACTAGATAGGAGGTCCTTCCCATCCCAGCACCACAAAAACCTAGGTGGTTCAAAGTAGGAGATACTCTGGTCCATCCATTATTTTATAGAGGGAGAAAGTGAGGCTGAGAGAGACTCAGAGAAGGAGTGTGACTTGCCAAAGTGGGCACATTGTGATAAAGAGAGA